TGTTTGTCTTGCAGGAGGAAATGTGCACATTCATTATCATGAGGAAAAGTGCTATGATGAGGAAATCTTTTTCTACCATCTGGGTTGTCACCAGTGGGTCTCGGCAAAGGAGAAACTCAGTGAGTATGAAAGTGAACAAAACAGCCGACTTCTAGATTGCACCTTACGTGTTTTATTTATTTTTCTAACACATTATATTTTATTGTGTCTTGAAATGGTTGTGATTAGACAGCCAAATAAAGTCCACTTTGTATATGTAGATGAAATAAGCACTAAATGTCTTTATGCTCCACTGTGAGTATATTTGTACAAACCTAAGGACAATCAGAAGATTTGGGGCTAAAATCCGTTTGAGATCTGAGCAGGTTGCACAAATGCACAAGTTTATTTTTACTTCTCCTTTTTACTTCAACTTTTTTCATTTTCATCATCTTCAGTTTTTTCCTGAGTGGGTAGCCTCTTGCCAGAACTCCATTTTAAACACCATCCATCTTAGTGATTGTTACCTCTGCATGTGAAGTGGTCACAGAGCTTTCATATTTTTCCAAGGTGGTGATGCTGTGAGGGGGCGTTACTCACATGTTGCTGCAGTGATGGAGGGACGAGTGTTGCTGGTTGCTGGAGGTTACAGTGGCATTGCGCGTGGAGACCTTGTGGCTTACAAAGTTCCCCTTTTTGTCAGTAGCGACCAAGGTGACAGGGTGAGTGAAAGCGCTGTAAACATTGACAGACCACGTGACTTTCACGCATTGCATGGCGGGAACTCGTGGCAAAACAATCCAAGTACCGCATCAAATGCAAGCATTTGCAGCACCGCAAAACGTTCATTCTCCGGTTCCAATACCTTCTTGCTTGTTCTTTGTCCCCCAAAAAAGTTATGTACAAAACGAAGGAGAACAATGCCGGTCCGTACAAAGACAGACTTGATGAAAAGTCAAAGAAAAGATACGAGGAAAAAATCAAAGGAGTGAAAGGGTCAGACCCTTACGAGCACACAGAGTGGACAAAATACGTTAGCGTGCTGCCCAACTTTCACCACGCTCATATTTATAATTATACGGTTCTTGGAGTGAGTGCATACACTCATGAAGTTTAGTAACTTCAGGTCACTGCAACAAGCCCAGGTACAGTTTACCGACGGATGGGTACAGGACCTTGAAATGCACCGTGTAGAACGAAAGACCATCGTACGTATCATAAGTTTACCAGTCTCACAAATCGTCTTCATAAATACACATTCGTTAACCGTTTATTAATAGGACCTTTGAGCTCAACGGTAATTAATTAGTAGTGGAAATAATTTCTGGTAGCATCACAGAAATGTCCTTGGGGGGCTCAACCCGGGGTAGCGGTCACGTCCGGTTGGGGGCTCTGTTGGCTCTCAGGTGACTGTTTCCTCGCGGCTGCGTGCAGCGGGGCTAGGGGAGGGTCTGTGCTGACGGACGTGGGTTACTGACCTGGCAACCTGGCTGCCCCTGGGTGGGTCCGGGATGGGCGTGAGGTTCTGGGGGCGCTCCGTCTCTGGGCTGGGGCCCGGGCCGGGCCTCGGGGGCTTGGGTCCTGGTTTGTGTGTTGCCGGGGTTGTGGGCGGGTGGGTGCATGGGGGCCCGGCCCTGGAGCAGGGTGCCGCCGGTGCGTCGAGCCGCCTGGGGGGCTCTTCAACTGGTGGGGGATGTCACATCTTGCAGGAGCTTTCCTCTCTTCAGGAACTCTCTGCAGGAGGGGGAGATACAGGAGAGGTGGAGGAAGATCTCAGCCTGGGCGTCTATTGTCTTATGTAGTCTGGAAGATGAGTGGATGGTGGGGTGGGTGCAGTTTTCTCTGTGGTGGGGTTGGGTGGACTGTCCCGGGCTCTGTGGGGCCGGGAGGCGCTGCTGCACTGGGCCCCGGTCTGGATGGGCCTGGGCCTTCTTCCTCTTTTTTTTTGAGATAAATATAAACATGGCTGGACTGATTACGAAACAAACTCTGCTAATTATCTCAGGACTCACCGTAGACAACCATGTAGTTTCCGATGACAGTGGCTGAATGGAAAGCTCGCTCTCTTGGGCCAGTTGCTGTGAAACGCGAACGGAAGGATGTCCAAAATCGTCGATCCACATGGAACACGTCTATTTTGCTCACCCTGGCACTAAACCTAAGAAACATATACAGTATGTATATTTCTATTGTCTATAAGATGTCATTTTTTAAAATCCCCACTTCCTGGATTTTTCTGAAGCATTTAACTATCTATGTGTAGCAACTTTTCACAAAAAAATTAACCTTAGCATATAATATTTCTTATTATGTTGGGATCCACTGGTTAAAAATTGGTCCAATACTGACTTAAAAAGCTCAAATGGACATCAATGACAATGAGCCTGTCTAGGGAACAGATTGTGTGTTGCTTTGATAAAATAACATGACATAGGCTAATATAATTGTATAATTAGTACACTTAGGAAAGCAATGTTTAAGTAGAGTGTGATGTGGTTTTATACACAAAAGACAGATTCCAACTCTCCTCTCGATCCAGATTAATACTCAACATGAGTAGATACCCAAAACCAATGTATTGTCATTACTGTAATGTATGAGAAGGTACACACCTGGCAGTGATAGGCCTGTGCCCTCCATAGACAAGCAATGTCCTGGAAGGGCCGTGGAAGACCATGGAGTGCCCAGCAGTGGCAGGTGGCTTCCCACCTGTGGGCTGAACCGTCTCCCACCGTCCAGAGTCATGCAGGCTGAACCGATACAGAGTCGAGGAAAACATATCCTCCTCAGTACGACCTGGGAAACAAATTTGGGTTTGTTTGATTCTTAGTGGATTAAAAATGCTGATATAAAAAAGACAAAGTGCAACGTGACAGTATACATGCGAACCCACCTCCAAACACATAGAGATAACTGTCTACTATAGCCGCAGCGTGATTAGCCAGTTTAGGAGCACCACGTGAAGTGGAAAAGCCAAGCTGTTGCCAGTCATCATTGAGAGGCCGGTACATCCAAACATCATTGGCCAGGGAGCCGTTGGCTAGCTCTCCTCCAAAGACAACCATTTTACCCATATACTCTACTGCTGTGTGGGAATGACGAGCCACCTGACAGAGTAGGAGAGCCAAAGAGAGCACGAAGGAAAGGAATACGATTGAGATGTTAAACAAAAAAATGACAATGATAGAATTCCCATCGACTATGTTTACATGTGCAAACAAATAGGATATATTAAAAAAAAGTGAGTGAGCAGAGTATACACTGCAATAAACTGATTTCTATAAAAACTACAAATGCACATTTGTCATAAACAGGTTCGATAAATTAAAAAATAAATTCTTAAACAGTTACAACATTATTTACAAAAAAATAAGCAAATATTCTTGACTTTATCGATTTACCTTGTTTTTAACAAGCAATCAGTAGAATGTAATACTCTATCACCACAAAGTGGCATTAAATAAATATGGTCAATCAGCACTGAACAACAAAAATAAATAAATAAATAAATGAATGAATGAATGAATGAAAGCAAGAAAGGCATTTTAAAAGTTTTGATATCCACAAGTATGCTAGGATCTACTTAAATTCAAGTGATGGAAATTTTAACACTAGATGGTGACCTTAAGGATCTGTGCAGATGTCTGCATGTCTGCCAGTCTTTTGCTACTGGATGACTGCATCACAGAGCACTAGCTACCATGTGCCCTTCAGCCACACTTCAAATAAGTGTAAGAGGTGCTAACTGTCAGAAACTGGTTAAACAGCTGTGCCATGTTGAGATTAGGTCGTACGTTTGGACAGTAACCAGAGAGAAGCATAAAATAAAACGTTTAAAAAGTGTGAATAATGGACTGCATTAACTGAGTTGTTGGAGTGAAAAAATTGAGCATTTGTATTAAAATTTTACAAATGATATTAAACAGCTGTAGAGACCAACTTTGTGAGACTGGTATAGTCCTGCATTAGCTAGTAATATGTTTCTGTTTTTTAAGATTTTGCATTTAGGCTATTGCAATAAATGGCCATAAGTAAATGGTTAAACTAGTATAAGTTATAAGTAATAGTAATAGGTTTTGGCTTTAATCCTTCTCTATAGTTTTAATATTGTCTTTTAAAGTTATTTTTAAAAAGAAATCCTGATTCCAGAGTTGTTCCTGAGTTCCTGGTTGTCAAGATAAGTGGCTGAAAGTTTGAGAGAAAATTAATGTGTATATCTTTGAATCCATTCTCCTGATTAAAGAAACTACATTTCTTGCCTACATGACATTTTGAGGATCAATTTACTGTAAAGTGCTGACAGTAACTTGGACACTTGTTTGCATAGAGAATGACAAAGCAAATGCAATAGCAGAAGGAAAGAAAAACAGCACATGTTTGAGTGTATGTTCACTTACAGGTGAATGACCATAAGACCTGCTTTCCCATTGGTTGGATGTAAAATTGTATTTGATCAAGTCACCAAGAGCTCTGTTCAGATCAAATCCTGCAAAGAAGATAAGCAAAATATAATTCAAACAAGCCAATAATGAGATATGAGACTGATGACTCAGACATTGGCATTCAGCTCTAACAAAGACATCAACATCACTGATGGTTAATATGTAACACAGCAACAAATTGTGTTGAGTTATGATTATTAACATATACCAAAGAATCAAAGTCAAAAACCTTGCCGTTGTCTTGTGTGTTAAAAATTTTGTTTTCTAAACAGAAAAATTGTATCAGTGGAATTTAACTGTGTGTTGCTCTTACCGCCAAACAGGTACATGGCTCCTGTGGAGGAGAGGTACACGCCTGCAGAACCTGTCCTGGGAGGTGTGTAGGGGTTTTCTTCACTCACACGCCACCACTTCCCTGCACCGCTGTCATTATAGAGACCAAGCTGGCAGTTTTGACCCACAAAGCCTGGCTTACACAGACAACGCTCTCCTTTCTGAACAAAAATCAATAAATGAATGAAGGCAAATATGAAAAGTTTCATCACGGCACACAAATGAATAACCTAATCAGGTTGAGAAACGCGTTACTGTGCGACTATAGTATATATTTTTTGTGTGTGTTCATTTAATCGTCCCTATCCCTACTCTTACCTTGTCACACTGGCCGTTCACAGAACAAGCTTGAGTGCACAGAGGGGTTGTACATGAGGGCCCACCCCAACCCTGATGACAATGGCACTTTGATGTAGAGGAATCACAACGACCATGACCGCCACACGCTCCAGGGCACAAAGAGAAGGTGTAAGTTGCATTGAAACCCAGTAGGTTGTAATTAGCGTCACTGAAGAGGTGAAGCAGCATCTGGAACACAGTTTAAGAGTGAACACAAATTAAGTTAGAATTCAACGCTAATGAAGTTTCAAGAATCATCCTGGCCTTTCAGCTGTGGTATCTTTTCTTGGTTACCTTGCCAGACTTTGCTTCAACGGGCTGGGGCAACGTGTGGCCACTCAGACTGGCTAGCAGGGGGCTTTGGTAGGAGTCCCCATCATACACAAAAAGGTAGTCATAAGTGCACTCTGTGTTCATGAAGGTGAAATTCAAGACAATGCGGTGACTGTTGTTGGGAGCTGGAAGATATGAAGAATTCGATAAATATCACTTTGAATAATCACAGAAAACAACAAAAAATAATGACAAAAAACATTTTCTCCACCTTTGATGAGCCACTCGCAATTCCCATTGACAGAGTAGTTTCCTGCTCCATCTGTCACATAGCCAGGTGGTCCCCTCAAAACCTGCCTGTGGCCCTTGCAGTCCCCTGCCTGGCACACAGGTGACTTGACCAACAGGAGAACCACCAGGATGAAGGAGACAGGGAGGGGGGAGGCCATCACTGGCACTGCCTGAAAGATGGAAAGGGAAAGAGCAAGGTGGATGTTGGTCTCCTAATAACAGGCCTTAAAACATTTGCAGCATATATGAAGACCATATATGTCTTATGTTAAGTTTATCGACCACATATAACAACTAAACTATGCTAACTGGATACAAGGGAATGTCTTATGGACATCAAAGCGCAATCCTAGTCCCCCTAGTTGTTCTCAGGTCTCGCTGTGCAGTCTTATGCCACTGAAAGGGTCCAATTTAAAGTGCTATGAGTCATATGTCAACTGCAATGACATTCACCCTGCAGTAACAACCAATCAGGCTTAATCAGATTACAAGGATTACTACAAACTGCCAGACTCAAGAAACGCCACTGCAAAAATTCTTATGCTGACTTTGCTAACAAGTGATAGCCCCATTTGCACAGGGAAGTAGCTCGCAAACATTAAGACTCCAGAAATCATACAACACAAACATAAGGTGAAAGGACGATACTCCACATCTGTGGTGTTGCATTAAAATATCACACAAACAGTTTACGAAAGGGTAGCTAAGCTAAATCGGTTTCACTGCAGAGGAGAGCGCTACAGCATTCTGCTCTGCTAGCCTGTCCGCTAGCTAGTGGGAGCGGCTCGGCCAAATCCAGATGCGCAATCGTTGGTTGCTGCAGACCCTAAAAGAATCAGTCATTCTTGAGAGTAATTCTTCATTATGTAATAACAAAATGATGGCTCAAAAACTACGATGGTACACCTCGGGGAACTGTTTGCAGCTTTCAGCGACACGTTTTAAAATAATCGACGCTACTCCTGCAGACCGTGTTATGGTGAGAAGCCAGTGTGTTTTGGTGCTTTTTGGCAGGCGAGCAATAACCAACGGTGACCAACACAAAGACAGTGCAGCAGCGAATAACCCATCCCATTACTGCCACCCAGCGGAGACATTCAAGGTTTACACTTGGATTTTTGAGGATGTAGTTGGGAGATGGTGGTACAAAGGAACTTGAAGATCTTCACAGTCGACACAGGGCTGTCTGATATGGGAAGGGGGGCAGAGTTGAGGGGTGTCTCCTGAAGTCCACTGTCATCTCTACAGTTTTAAGAGTGTTCGGCTCCAGATTGTGCTGACTGCACCAGAGTACCAGCCGCTCAACTTCCTGCCGGTATGCAGACTCATCACCATCCTCCATCCTGGACTCTCTTCACTGCTCTTGTGCAGACCGTTGATGTCAGGTATTTAAACTCATCTCCCATCACTACCTCTACTCCTTGCATCTACACTGCTACATCTGTCCCCATCATTCTCATTCTTATGTTCTTGCTTTTTGTTTGTTTGGGTATCTGTAAGCACTTATTGATTTTCTGCAAATTAACAAGTTAAAGTATTATTTTCACCACTGCTGAACTCATCTGCTCCCTGCTGAATAAAAGTTCTCCATACTGTTTGCAAACGTTTTGAAAAGAACTCAACACACATTTAATTTGAAACAGTTTTTAATTGAAGACCGACACACAAGTGTTAATGTTTAGAGGTTACACACACTGTAGTAGCATATTTTATATCACAAAGTGTTGCTAAGCATGAACTTAGTATAGTGAATGACAGCCAGCATAGCAATTTAACTATCCCAACAATCAGCAGTTTCATTTTGCATTTTAATCCAAAACATCAGCATCACCAAAAACATTTGAAACGCATTTTTTTAAGTGTATATTAGAGAAAATTTTCTGATTCCTCACAGAAATCAAATGAATCAAAGGCTAACAACAACTACAATATCATCCCCTAAAACCCAGAAGCAAGTGACTTTATAACAGTGAAGTTTCAAACTTAATCACCATCATCGCCTTTATTTCATTGAAGGATTAAAAAAAAATAAAGCTCTCAGTCCAATCCTTTGTTTTTGTCATGTGTTTTGTTTCTGTTTGGCCACATTAACTACGCTCAAAACACGAGGGTAGGGAGGTGCAGAGGGCCAGACAACTGTTGTGCATAATAAACACTGTAAAGGCAACGCTTGAACTCATAAACAAATCAATACAGCCTGAAATCTTCCATCATTGCAATGCAAGGTGAAAACAAAGAAAAAAGAAAGAAACAACAAAATACACCTATGAGTAGAGACGAGACAGAAAGCGTGAGTGTCTGTGTGTGGACCACAGGCTGATATTTCATCGCTCTGATATAAATAACCACATCCTTACTGTGGTTGTAAATCACAGCCTGAACGGCAGCCCGCATTAAGCTATAATATCACCACCTATGTTGGTGGTGTCATATGTCACAGTCACTGTTAATTATTTATGAGACTATCATATCAGTAATATTAACACAGCAAGAACCTTTCGATCATGGCGATCATCTTCGATACAACATAGCGTGACATCCCAAATTCAGTTTACTTTTTCCTCCTTTGGTCGGTCACTAGCAAGGTGCCAAAAGATCAGTGGATTCGGTTTCTCTCAGCAAAGGCACTACGGCACAAAGTGTCATCCTTTGATCACTTCTTGGTTTCTGTCTTCTGCACACAGTCAACACGTTTCATCTTGACTGTCTTTTGCAGGCTGGTTTGCATGTTTTAAAGTTTAGGCATTTCACTCTAAATTGTGTTTCTGACATTGTGTTTTATCACACGCTTCGAACATTATGTCAGTGTCATTATTTTCATCTTTATACTTAAACTGATGTTTCATCTACTGGCAGATTTAATCTTTTAAACTTTTATTTGATGTTCTCGTTGCCCCTGATCGACTGATAAAGGCTTGTCGAGTTTCTCTTGCTTTTAAAAGTTTTTCATCATTGATTTTCAATCTTGCATCTTCACATCAATAACCTTATCTTGGGTTGTTGACATGTGTATAGCTATTTTTCCTGGAACCAGAGCCATGGGCGAGCTATGGAGGCCGGGACCAAAAATAGGAAATATCGCACCTTCAAACTTGTGTGTAAGTGTGACCAGGTGCTTCCCTAACCCTCCATCCCAAAATGACACCTCTCCCTTTTCTATATTAAGCTTGACTCGAATCTTTTCAGGTCGCTGCTGAAGCTGCAGCTCTTCACGCTTAGTCGTCATTACATTATACACCCCTTTGCTCAGTCCTAAGGCCCACACACCGCGGTTTGTTGCAACTGTAAACTTCTTTTTACGCTGCAATGACTCTCTGCACACTCCCACTATCCACTTGGGGTTGTCACCTACAAAGACATCCCATTTGTGTTTCCCGGAGGTGTAAGCTTCAGCACCTAGGACAAAGACGCAGGGATCAAAGCGCTGTGGGTTATCGGGGATGGTCAGCCGCTCTGAGCTTTCCTTCACACTGACCAGGTCTGAACTCAAAGACAGCCAAGGTGAGGCTGTGTTCGGGTTCAACAGCACTGGATCTGCACACACAGGGTGAGAAAAGGCACAATGGGGGTCAAATTTCTTGTGAAGAGATATGCTAAATGTACTAAATGTAGGAAAGTCATGTACAATCTCTATGTACTGTTCTAGAGCTCAAGACTACAAACATCCACTATTAAGTGCTGGCAGGAAAAGACTAACTAGTATTAAAATGTACTGATTCCAAGGTTCAGTGGCATTTCTTTCTGTCTGAAATAAATAAACAGACTAGTTATTTTTGTATTCGGTCCTGAAATACTGTAGTATAGCCATCCTCAAGCTCAAGCTTAGTTTTCATGGAGGATCTGGATCACTGTCAGATGATAACAAATACATGATGAACAGCTCAGTCCATACAACACTGGTTTTCAGGCAATGACTGAAGTGCAATACTGATCTACATTCACAATTCTTATAATAAAGTTTAGCCTATCAGATGCACTCTAGTGCACGTGTGTCTTCTAAAATTTGTGTATATTTTGTGCAATAAAGGCAGTTCCACTGTTCCAAAATCCCACCGTGTAACGTACTCACAATATTTCACATGAGACTGCATTTTCTTCCATACGTTGAAGCCCAGACCACCAACGTGTTTGGCCACGTTCAAAAGGGATCCGTAGGGAAGGCGAGGCTCTGAACGAGACCAGTGAGCTCTAGACAAGAGACGGCAATGTGGAAAGTTAATGAGAGACAGTTGTAACTTAGCAAAAGACAGCAGAGAGCTAAATAAAAAAAAACAAAACTGTAATGTGACGATTGTGCAAATATTTATCAAAAACATCATTGTAATGAATTTTTTAGATGTATTTAATCTAAAACAGAGATTGTTTTTGCAAAGATTATTTCTGATTACAGCGAGTTTTGCAGGGACTTACTGTCTTTTTAAATTCTGGAAATTCTGAAACAAAAAAAGTGACCGAAATCAGTTTGATTCAAGTCATGTAAAGCGCTCGTGAGACACAAAACGACATTGTGATAACAGACTTTTTTTTTTTTGTTTTACCCGGAGGAGTGGTAGATCCTCATTGCCCATCTCCTTCTTAATTGTATCAATGAGCTCCTTCATAGCGACAACATCCTTTTCTGTGCTTTCAATCAGTTTCTGTATGCCAGCGATCTTCTCCCCCTCCTCATCAGACAGAGCTTTAAGACGCATCGCTTCTTCTGCGGTGAGCACGTCGTGAAGCCTCTGAAACTCTGCTTTGATCTGCTTTTCTGCTTCTTCAGCCTGATACTGTATTAAGACAGAGCAGATTTGTACTGTACATTTGTGCTGTGTGCCAGAAAAATATTAACGTGAAGCAGTGAAATTAATACCCCATAACCTATGGACAGAAATATGCTTTAAAAGCGTTGCAAATATGAACGATATGATCCACAAGCGTACAATTGTGTACAGTGATTTGTGTGTAACTTTTGTTTCATGTCACAGACTGAAATGGAGACATCTGGGCTTTCTCTCTGTATTTGTCTTTTTTAAATGTATTACCTTTTTTTTTTAATGAAAAAAAAAAAACGCTTTCTGTTCATCAATAGCACATGAACGTGCACTGTAGCAAATTGCTTGTTTAGTCTGGATTAAGCTTATTTGCCTGGTACAGAGTAACATGAATCACTGTACACAATTGTGTATCTTACTTTTTGCCGTGATAACATTGTACGTATTTGCGATGTTTCTGAGTCATATTTCTCTCTAATTTATTTAACCTGCACCGGATCAGTTTAACATAAGGGGGCAAAGTACTTTACAGATCACCCCAGGAAGCCACCCTTTAGAAACTGAAGATGTCTGAATTCAAAATAACAGTCCTGCTGCTATTAATAACCAGCTTAATCACTATTCATGTAATAAGAACACCGTGAAACATGTCAGTCACCTTACCTTGATATAGGTCACTGCGTTTTTGAGATTGCGAGATGTTTTCTTGTACGAGTCCACTTTCTTTTCAAAAATGTGGACTCTCTCGCTCAGCTCCTTCTGCAAAAAAGCACAAAATGTTTTAGGCCAGTGACAAGGGTTACACACACAACACAAATATACACATGTTAGACAGATGACAGGATATCAAATTGTAAATGGTCTGGTACTTATAGGAGATACTTATATAGTGCCTTCTATTTAATATGAGCATTCAAAGTTCTTTCTACTATGTCTATCCATCTATCAGTATCTTGGTCAAGGATACTTCAACAGACTGTAGGATCTGGGGATTGACCCTTTCTGCTACCAGAGCCACTGCTGCCCAAAAGATTGTGCTTTAAAACAATTGTTGTAGGGGGATAGAGTTACCAGAGAGCTGTTACCAAAAAAGGGTGACAACGTTTATTGCAGGCCAAGATATTCACAAGCATTCACTGTGGTGCTTCAGGTGGTTGTACAGACTGCAATAACAATCCTGTGAACAATTTTCTGTCTTTGATGGCAGATAACGGGCATCTGATATACTTCTTGATTATCTCCTTTTACAGAAGATCCAAAATTGCCACCGTTGCTGCTGATGACATTATATCAGAGCCTACATAGCTGATAGAAAGGACATTAACGCTAACTAAAAACGCATTTGTAATTTGAATCCAGATTCAGTTTTTCTTTTTTAGTCTGGCACTGGCCTTAAACCACGTTTGGTAAACTTACTGTTAACACCTTTACATAACATATTACTAAATGAGCAGCTGCAACTACAGTTTGTCAGCTTTTAAGAAATCTCAAACAAACCAGTTCCTGCTGGTGGAAACAGGATTGCATAGCACTTTTTTTTCTTTCTCAAGAAGAATCTGACAAACTGGTTAGGGGAACTCTTACCTTGCACATGGGCGCCCCATCGCTCAGTGTGTACAGCCTGTGGGTGCTGTGCAGAGTGACGCATTCCACGCACACCGGCTCCTCGTCCTTCTCGCAGTACAGCTCCAGGGGTTTCAGGTGCAGGTTGCAGACTGCGTCACTGGGCTGAATGGTTTTCGGTCGTT